GATAACTGTAGCAAGTGAAATTTCTAGGGAGCAAATTAGGCTGAAAACATCTTCTAGAGACAGCTAGAAAGGAATTGTACACCACCCCCAAAATAAGGCAAGTTATGCAGTAAATGTTTCATTTATTGGCCTTCTTCCATTACCATTAGGGTTAAAAGACATCTTGTCAATAAGAAAGGTATATTTATGGAGGACTGATGTCTTTCAAAAGGCTGCTCCTGTCACAAATGCCTATAGCAGTAGTGATCAGCTTATGAAGGCAGATGATGAAACTCTGTACAAATGCATACATCTCCCCATTAACCCTTGGATCATCAGGCATTATTGTCACTTTATTTCCCAGACCTGTCATTAGCTGAAGCAAGGTGATCAAGCCACGCACTTCAGAAAAATGCCAGAACAGAACAGTGTTCCTCAGGGTTTCAAGAAAGAGGGGATGTGCCTTTCCATGTCCCTTGACAGAATCATTGGGGGAAAATAAAAGGATGCCTGTGAAGTGGGCCTTTTTTGCCTACCCCTTCCTTCTGCTAAAATTGAAAACTCTCCGAGGTGTCCAATTTTTAGTGATCCTATGTTGGCTCAGGGAGTAGCTTTCCTCAAGGTCCAAATAAGGAACCATCACCCACGCAGAACAAAAAGCAAACAGAAAAATCTCACAGTGGAAGCAGGACTTCGGCTTCAAAACATTTCCCCATTTTATAGCTTCCTTATGTTTTCAGGTTCTTTTTTTGGCTTCCCTCAGTCAGCACACTCCCTGCATAGATAAGTCCAACACAGTGGGTAGCAGATCATCCATCTTGGAACCCGGGTCTTTAAGGAAATATCGCACAGAACAAACACACACACACACACACACACACACGCACGCACGCATAGATGTACACGTCACTGTTGAGGGTCATTGAGTGGAATCTGGCTGAGCGGTTGGGGGAGCTGAGTGTGCTTGTCAACATGTATTTCTCCACTTCTGGTGAATCTGAGCAGACTCTCCTTGTTTTTCCTAAATTCCAAAGCCGAACTTCCAACATGCTTTGTCCTCTTTGTTGGTGTGCTGGTGAACATTTTAGCATAACTAGGGTATGGGCTGAAACTATGGAATCATGGGCCCCCTGGGTGTACAAGAAGGACCCCGGGGAAATACCCAGTCCAACCACCTCATCTGTCAGGTGAGACAGTTCTCAGAGGACAGAGGTAACGTTGGGCCTATTTCTGCCATCCCCAGTAAGCATATTCTCATTGGTTGGAGGGCACCTACCACTCCGCCATGGCTCCCCCATAGGGAACCAACATCAGAAGAATGATTTGCATCACCTGAAACCTCCTTTCGCACTCCCCAATAGGGATGAACAAGGAAATATCTCTGGGAAAGGGGACCTGTTCCCTTAGTTTTCAAGGAAAAATGCAGATTACTAATATCAACACGTGTCCACAGGGATTTAATAGAAGCACAGCCGAAGGGGAGGAGAAAATAGAGTGAAGAAGCAGAAGGGCAGTGGATGAGGAGGAGAAGCAGGAAGAGAGAGGCTGAAGCGCAGTCTCCTTAGAGTTCAGGACCTGGGCTGGCCCCAGGAATGGGCACCCAAGAAAAAGGTCACAGCTTCTTCCCCACCCTGCCCTCCTCCCAATATGCAAAACCCCTTGGCTGAGGCCAAAGGCAGAACTGGTCTGGTTTCTTCCCTGTATTCTTCGAACCCCCTGCTATTGGGGCAGAACTCATGGTCCCGTAAACTAGGAGTCCTCAGTATCTGGAGGGAGAAGTTGCCTCCACACCGGGACACAAGCCAACGGTTGTTTAAAATTCCACACCAAATCTATAAAATACATGTCCACATTGTGAGCCAACCTGACTTAAAAAAATGTATTATATTACCCTGCTTTTTGCCAATTGCAATTCCACACCCTCTCCCTCCCCCACCTGCCATCTGGGCCTCACCTGAAGCCCTTTCAGAGACTTGGGGGTTATTGACCCTATGAGATCTTGTAGGTCTCCCCAACCCTTTCATGGCATGAAGCAATGAAATCAAATGTGGCACATATGCTATCATGGAATAACTTTTAATTGCTTAATTAAATCAGAGATTTAAAGAAGGAAAGATTCAAGAGTTTCCTTTGAATGAGAAATATGAGGATATGCCAAAATGGATGAGGTTACTAAGCATCAGAAGAAAGCCGTTAGTATTTACATATGCTAAAAATGCAGGCCAGGACATTAAAAACAATAAGCTTTAAAATTTGCATTCAGTGTATTTATGAGCTTTTATTATCCAGGTAGTCCTATAGAGGACATAGAAGACCTCATTATCCAACTTAATTCAGATCAAGGTTAGATTTAAAAAAAAATACCACCGCACAGGACAAAGAAATTGCCATAAAATTGAGTTACTATGAATGTGTTCCAGTTTAAATAAATAAGCCCTTAAAACAGGCTTTAGGAAAGTCTGTGTTGTACACAGACAGACTCAGGCACTCTAGGTATGCAGGTGACAATTAGCAAGTGTGAAAAGCTATGGTCATTTCGCTAAATGTGTAAATCTAAAGGCAACCAAGTGAAAAGACCTACGAAAAGGAAACTGTTAAATCCATTTGTACATGGATTTAACAGTGAAGCATTTCATTCTTCATGTTTTTACTTGGTGTCTTGAAATAATCCCCTTTCTGTCTCCACTCTCCCTCTTAGAAACTGTGCCCGCCTTATTTATTTATGAAGTCTGAAGGTTAGTCCTACCTGCTGAGACTAATTAGCCCTGTGCTTTGTATCCTATGCAATCCTGTCTGATTAAATGTACACATTTGTTTTACTTCTTTTCTGGCTCCTTCTCACTCTACTTCTGATTTTCTGATTAATATTAAAGTTGGGAGTTACAGTGATTCTCCTCTGTAGCCCCCCCCCCATTTTATTTTGCCTTCGTCTTTACTCTTTAGTGTGCTAATGTGGTTGCGAATTTTTCCCAGTGCAGGGGAATTCATTGGCCTTGTCAATCTTGGTATCATTATTTTTAGTAGTCTTCTTTCTGAGACCTTAGCCTATAAAACAGTTTTGCTGAAACCCAAACCCTCTAAATATTACATGGTAAATTTGCTTTCTTTTGGAAACCTTAGGTGCTGATGGGCCAGTTGGAATGAATGTGAGTTTTTTTAGGAATTGGTGGGATAATTTAGTATATCATGGACTGTGGACCAACACTGTTCCTAACAGATAATTTGCTAATTCCTATTGATTTCTTTTTTGTCCCTCTCTTCGTGTTTTAGTTTCTGGCCCACTTCTCATTGGATATTTGCAAGACAATAAGTGTCCATGCTCCAACATCCAGGAAGACTATGTTTTGGGAGAATCAGGCCTTTTCCTCTTTAACATAATTCTATTCCCCATTTTGTAGCAAATCTGCTCCCCAGGAGAGTGCCTAAAAACAACAATACCTGCCTCAAACCCCAGGTTTTCCACCTCCTCCCCGAGCTCTTTCAGCATCAACTCGGTTAGCAATTTCCTGCCAGAGCCATCTACATCTTGATTATTTGGCCCGTCTTTTGGGGATTTCATTTCACACCCCCTTGGAGAAAGACTCCAGCACCACCGATCCCAGGGGTTGGTGAACTTTCAGTTTTATTTTCCCTGGCGGTGTTAACGCCCAAACTTTTCACCTCCAAAGGCAGAAAGGACTTTGAATCCTAGCTCATTTCCTACCACCTCCAACGTCAGTTACCAAAGGAGAGGGGGAAAAAAAAAAAACACAACACTTTACATTGAAAAGAACCACGTATTTTTCCTTAAGGATATTTTTAATGCCCCTAAGACTACAGTATTTGGATTGTTTTTTGGGTAAAAAGTCATCTTGGTATATTTATTTCAGTGAGACTTAAGATTTAATGAAATGACTCACTATTAATACACAAAAAGGGGAGGGAAGACCTCGTGGGCTAATAGTTTCTTTCACTGCAGATGACCAGGAACTTTGCCCGGCTCCCCACTTCCCCAAGCTCTCTGAAAGTGGAGCGTTGATCTTTCTTTTTGACCACTTCTGTTAGATCCCCGCCCAAGGGTGGCTGACTTCTCTGCTGGGTTAACCACTAAGCACCCCCCCACCCCTTCCTCACAGCACTCTCCTCCTTTCCCCTTCCTTAAGACTTATTTCTACTATTTCCAAAGTGCACTTTTTCTGGGCCTCTCCCCATCCCCGCCCCCCAAGTGGGCTTTCCTTCCGCCTTCCTCGGCTCGGATTCCCGACTCGGTCGCCACCCCCTTCCCCTCCTCTCCCACTCCGCATTGTCCTTCCGAAGCCGCCCCCCTCCCGGAGCGAGTCCTGTACCCTCGCCCAGACTCGCGGGCTCGCACCCACTCAGCGCAGGCCTCTCCCCCTGCACACTCCTCCCTCCGACTCTCTCCCCCCTCCTCCCCCGCCCCTCTCCTCCTCCTCCTTTCCCTCCACCCTCTCCCGGCGCCCGAAAGGATCATTGTTAGCCGCCCCCGCCCCGCCCACCCCGGCTGTTTATTTATGCACACGTCACCGGGAAGGACCCGCCCCCCGGCATCTCATTAAGCGAGTGTGTTCCTCTCGCCCTGTCAATAATCTCCGCTCCCAGACTACTCCGTTCCTCCGGATTTCGATCCCCCTTTTTCTATCTGTCAATCAGCGCCGCCTTTGAACTGAAAAGCTCTCAGTCTAACTTCAACTCACTCAAATCCGAGCGGCACGAGCTCCTCCTGTATCTTCGGCTTCCCCCCCCTTTGCTCTTTATATCTGACTTCTTGTTGTTGTTGGTGTGTTTTTTTTTACCCCCCTTTTTTATTTATTATTTTTTTGCACATTGATCGGATCCTTGGGAACGAGAGAAAAAAGAAACCCAAACTCACGCGTGCAGAAGATCTCCCCCCCTTTCCCCTCCCCTTCTCCCTCTTTCCCCTCCCCAGGAGAAAAAGACCCCAAAGCAGAAAAAAAAAGTTCACCTTGGACTCGTCTTTTTCTTGCAACATTTTTTTTTGGGGGGGGCAAAACTTTTTGGGGTTTTTTTTTTTTTTTTGGCTTTTCTTCCTCCTTCATTTTTCTTACAAAATTGCTGCTGGTGGGTGAAAAAAAATGCCGCAGCTGAACGGCGGTGGAGGAGATGACCTAGGCGCCAACGACGAACTGATTTCCTTCAAAGACGAGGGCGAGCAGGAGGAGAAGAGCTCCGAAAACTCCTCGGCAGAGAGGGATTTAGCTGATGTCAAATCGTCTCTAGTCAATGAATCAGAAACAAATCAAAACAGCTCCTCTGATTCCGAGGTAGGAAAAGCCCCTCGGGCTGGTGGGGTCTTGAGTCTATTTCCTGGGCTTGGCAAACGGTGCCGAGAGGGGAGGAATAGGGGCCGGGGGCGCCGCGGGGCCGGGCGGGCGGCGTGTGTGCGCGGTGCCACCATTGCAGAAACTTGTAACCCTGTTTTCTCTCCCCCCCACAATCCCCCCACCCCTCCACCCCTCTGATCCTTTTTCTCCCCCTCTCCCCCCTCTGCGTGGCGTTTGCCCCTCGCCCTCCCCACCTCCACCCCTCCGGGAAGGCGGAAAGACGGCCTCCGCCTCGCTCCGAAAGTTTCCG